TATGTTCCCAAATTTTTTCATTTTTTTTCCACTTAGGGTGGGGCAAAAAGTAAATTTTATCACCATGTGCCCTGGATGCTGGATATGGAGCTATAGGACTTACTGTCATTTTTTATTTTGTTTTTATTTTTTATTTTATTTATTTTTATTTTTTATTTTTTTTCCAGTACTGGGAATCAAACTCATGATCTTGCGCTTGCCAGGCAGGCGCTGTGCTGCTGAGCTAAATCCCCAGCCCCTGTCATTTTTTATTTTGAAGCAAGTTCTTAGTAAGTTGCTCAAGTGGGCCTCAAGCTTGAGATCCTCCTGCCTCAGCCTTTCTAGTAGCTAGGATTACAGGTGTGCATCTCTGTGCCTGATGGTTGAGTTTCCTTCTGCTAGAACACCAGTGATGGGTTTTATATTAATTTAGTTAGGATTTGGATTATTAATTTAGTTGGGATTTGGAAGTGAGCTGTTTCTATGGTTACCCTCTGTGCCTCACAGGCTAAAAGTCCCTCTAGCAATTCTTTGTGTTTAGGGTAAGATGCTGGTTTGCCGGAGGAGTTTTTCCTCTTTACTCAGTATCTACTCCAACCTCAGCTTAGGTCCTTCCCCTGCCGTGTGTCAGAGAGGGTGTCTTTCCGTGCTCCGGTCTCCCCTGTTTATCTTTGTCCCATAGGATTCTGCCCCTTGTGTTGCTTTGCTCTTCAGCTGTCTGGTGAGGGGGTGGGGTGTTTTTTGTGGTCCTGTTACTCCTGTAGCCGTTCTCAGCCTCAGGTTCCTGTGTCCCTGAGCATTGGGACTATGCTGTCCAGTGCCTCTGCCCCTTCTCAGTGGTGGTTCTGGGCTCATCACATGTTCCTGCTCCTCTCCCAGCAGTAGTTATTTTCCCCCTTTCTCCCCTCATTCAGCTGAGTGAGTTCACACTGTGTCTAAGGACAGCTACTTGCCCTTTTCTTTGTAGACGAAAGCCTCTATCCTTAGGGAGACAGGGTGGCAGGGTCTGGGTGGAGCAGGCAGGTATCTGTGCTTCCCTCTCAGTACCTGCTGCACTCCCACCCTGGGTCTGCCACAAGGGACACTTGCTTAAATCCTTCTCCACTTTCTTCTGTGAAACTCCTGGGGAAGTTTGTAGTGAAAAATCCTGAGGACAGGGAGCCTCCCCTAGTTTCTGTGGCCTCTGAGGGTTGCATGCTGTCTTGTCCAGGCACACTTCATAAAAACATCAGCTAAGCTCCTTTTACTGGAGTCTAGTTGCGTCCACCCAGGTAAATTAGAGCTCACGTCCCGTCTGTCCGTAAATCTGTCAATCCTTGGGTTGGGCCCATTGTTTACTTCTGTTACTTCAGAAAGAGTTTGAGGGAAATACAGGGATTTGCCTTTTGTCTGGCTTATTCTCATGGTAAAGTAGGGAATGATGCTCATGTGCTCAAATAAAAACTGAAAGCCACATCTTTATATTTGAACAATTTGAGTTGGATTCTACTTCCTGCCAGAAGCATGGATAATCCTGGAGCTGGGATCTAAATCTAGCATTCCTCTTACTACAGCATAGTTTTTCATCCCTTCTTTATCTCCTTTCTCTCCTCAGTTCACATTTCACTTATAAAGTATTTGCTGAGAACTACGAGGTAGCAGGCTCTAAGCTCAACACACAGAGAGAGTAGTTAATGTGAGCCTCATTGTCACAGCTGTCACAGGGCACCAGGGGAGGCCAGAGCAAGAGCCACTTCACTCCAGGAAACTTCGGGAAGCTGACTGCTCATGTCCACCCAACAAGTAAGTTTGGGAAGCTGCCTGATGCTATTGGGCCATTTTCTTGGCCACCAAATGCTATGTAACCAGAAGCCGCCTCTGAAAGCAATGATAGCACTCCCTGGGGATGCAGCCTGCATTGCTGGCTCCTTGGAGGTTTTTACCAGCAGAACTGTGGCCCAAGGGGAAAATAGTAACTGTGAACTCTTTAAGTCAAGTTGCTCTGAAGTATGTGATGTTTATGTTAGATGTATTATTTAATCTGTTAGGAGGATCGATAAAGCTTGTTTTAGTAATAGCCCATGTCACAGGCAAGCCTGGGCTGATTTTTTAAAATATTAGAACGTTTGGGATTGAACCTGCATCATAGAACAAGGGGGAGAAAATTCACTAAGAGCAAACTGTTAATTAGCAAAACCTGTATAGATCCTAATAAATACCATCATGACAAATAGCACCATACCCTTATCCTAAGGAGGCTCACGGTTTGCAGGGTAGTTATATTTTCAGTGTTAACTTAATCTTTTGATCATCAGAATGGCCCAGAAATGGAGTAGGGTAGTGATAACTTCCATCTGACTGAGACTTGGGTCTGGAAGACAGCTAGCCTGCTTCTAAGTCACACAGCTGAACAGCCCACAGTCCAGTGAAAATGGGAATCTGGCATCCCTGCTTTGTTCCCATTGAAATGGACCACTTTGCTTTTGCTCAATCTGCAGGCAATCTTCCAGCTCAGCCTGGCTATTCCAGGGACCTGGCCTCTTTCCTACTCCATACTTTGATCGCTCATACTTGACACCTGACCTCTGATTTCTACCTGTTAAATCTTTTGTTTGTTCTTTTGATTAGCTCACTTCCAAACTGTTCCTGGGTAATACCTTTTCTGTCCAAATAACATTTCTGTAATCACCAGTACTGCCACAGTATTGCTCGAGATAATAGCTGCAGCAGGAATCATTGAGCTTTCCATGTTCCATCTCATTGAAAATGTGAACCTCACACTGTCCCAGAATAGAAACTGTTTTAATCTCTATCATATACATGAATTAGAAGGAGGATAGGTGCATCTAGCCAGTGCAGCTGGAGGAACACAGATGTGTGTTCTGGGTCTACACCCACTGTGTGATTTTGAGCTGGTTACCGAGTCTCTCTGTGCTTTAGTATGTTCACAAGTTAAAAAACTGTAGATAATTCCTACCATCTGAGTTAATGACTGACTTTAAGACCCCTGCTAATTTATCTATGCATCAAGCTAAGGGCTTGACGTTGTAGGTGTTGTGGAGATTAAATGGGAAAGAGCCTAGCATACAGTAATATCCCCCCCATCCCCAAATGAGTTTCTCCTTCTAGTTTAGGGCTTTTATCTTCCATGTCTGGTTTGTGTCAACAGGATCCTGTGCACTGTGATAAAATGGGTTCTTTGGAGTTTCAAATGCTGTTTTATAATAAATTTTCTTTCTGCATAAAACATCAACTACGGTTGCATGTTTTATGTAGGAAAGAGAGGGAGGGATCCTTTTTGGCAGAAGTGCAGGGAAGTGTTTTAGGTTTCAGGGGTGGTGGAGAGTAATGGTGCCAGTGATGTGTAAGTATTCAGCTTGGGACCTAAGTGAGTGACCTTGGGAACTAATTGAGTACACAGACTTGCTCTGACAAAGAAACCCCTGTATTGGCTAAATAATGTATAAGAGATTTCCATTCCATTGGGTAATGGGGAAAATTGAATTATTTAGCGTATTTCCATTTCAATGAGTTAATCAAGATAATTGCTGCTTTCCTGGATCTTTGTCTTTTCTTTGCAATTAACAAGGCCCTTGTTTGGAGAAAGGAATTTAACTAGTGAACTTTGTACAAAATGCTGTGACATTTTTGGGTGCAAATTATATTTGAAAATCAATTACAGATCCTTTTCCTTTAGACTGTGACAAATTGATGCTTGATCCAGTTTGAGAAAAATGTAGGGTCCAAGGATTCAAGTTCATTTGGGCTTAAACTCAGTGGGGAGGTGTGGGAGGCAGAACCGAAAGAGCAGAGCGCTGGCCTCAGATGTGGAGAGTGGTCCCTTGTTCCGCTGTGTTCTGTATAACAGCAAGCAAACAAGCCTCTCTGGCCTCAGTTTCTATTTCTGTAAGACAGGCAATATCTCCTGTCACCCGGAACTGTTGTGGGAGTGAGTGTATCAACAAGACCGGTTCCTTTCCTATCTCCTGCACACTTCTCATTCCGTGATATGTCCGCAGTCTTCGTCATTGAGAACCTGGCTAGGATCTCAAAAAAGAAGCTTTACAAGATCTAAGTAGGAAGAGAAATATTCTAAGGTCCGTTCATTAAAGTGTCTCATAGAGAAAACACTTCAGATTTTATGTATATTTAATTCTGGTTACGATTGTAATAAGCTAAGCTTGGGCTTCTCTGACCACACCACTTAAGCGGCCCTGTGCTGGATGAAGAAGGAAGTAGCTACTTGAGGTTCGCACTCTGACTGAAAACAGTGACACCACAGGGCCACAGAGAGGAGAGTCAGTGAAACTATACCTGGTAGATACAGGAGCTAATAAAAGAATAGTTTAAAATTGCATCAGGAAGGGGCCAAGGGCTTTGTGTCCTTGCCTCCCCACTTCTGGAAGCTATTACCATAGGACCACATAATATGCAATTGTTGTTCCACATTAATGTTCCTGACTCATAAAAAGAAAAGTTATACAGTATATGTCTGTAACATGTGTTTGAGGAGGGGGGACTTGCAACTTATTTCATAAGAAGTTCATACAAAATGGTTAAAATAAAAAACCCCATATTTTTGGAATTTGACTATGTGAGCTTTGATTATGTGGAAAATTCATCCATACTGATGTCCCTTCTCATGTTGCCATATACCTGGACACTGGTCACATGAAGGTGCTAGCACTTTATCAAGTATTTTTCATCTATCTCATCTCCCTGTGGTATTCTGGACAGGTGACTATTGAATCTATTTTACAGATGTGGAAACTGAGGCCTAGAGAGATTAAGTCTGTGATAGAGCTGAGATTGAAGCTCAACTCTTCTGATTCCTAAGCTCATGCTTTCTTTACTACTGCATTTCCTTCTTAGGAATCATTTGGAATAGGAACATGCAGACCATACTATAGGTAATGGTTTCCATGCTGAATACTGAATTAAAATGAAATAAACACAATAATTCATACTCCATCAATCCACCTCAAATCCTACAATGCATTTAAAAAAACACAACTGTCAAATGGTCTTATCTTGATACTTACTCATAAAATGTTGTCCATCCATTTTCATTGCTTTTGGTTGCCAGAAGGCCAGAATTGCCATGGTAGGTCATGATGGCCAACTCGTGTCCCTGTGTGGTCACACTTCGGAGTGCACTGTTGGTGCCCATAGTCACCCAGTATATCTGGCCATCGGGGACCACCAGCCAGAGGGGCATCCCTGTGGAATCTCGGCGGACATTCACCATATTGCCATTGTTGTCTGTGATGAGGGTGATATCACCGTCCCCAGTATAGGTGAAGTTGTACAGGTAGTCTCCTGTGGGCAGGCTCTGGGTGTACAGATGCTTGCCACTGGTATCAAACAGGTATAGCTCCTGGTCGATGGGTGAAGACAGCTCATACATGTTCTGGGTGTTGAGGAAAGGTTTGTTCTTCCGGATAAACCGAATTCGGATGTTCCCCAGGTCAGCCACGTAGAGCTCCCCATCAGCACACACAGCCAGGGAAGATGGGGTATTAAGTTTTGCATCCTTGGCATAACCATCATCTCCAGAGAAACAATCACAGTTGGCATCATTTTTACAGTCACAGCCACTGGGGGCCCCAGCAACCAGCGAGATCTCTCCACTAGTGGTGACCTGCCTGATGCGGTTGATCTTTTTCTCATCAGTCTCAGCAATATATAGGACCCCATTATGTGAAACAGCCAAAGCAGTGGCTGACTCCAGGGTTGCATGGATGGCCACCTTGCTCAGCAGGAAGTGGTCGATGCCAGGGACCTGGCAGTGCATGGGCCTTCCTGCGACAATGCGCACCTGGTGGTTCTCAGAGATCTGCAGGACCACGTTGTTGTCCAGGACATAAAGAGAGTTGTCCATTGGGTTGATGGCTAAGTCTGTGGGCCACTCCAAGCGAACCTGACAATGGAGACACCAACACTCAAATGACTGGCAAGATATCCCACACCCACTAAAACCTGCAGTAGTGTCCAAAAGGCTTTCACATAAAGTTTTGACTAATCCTTATACAGCCTAGCATCGAAAGTAGAGTGTCATGTTCCTGATCTGAGGGAAACTATGCAATCAATAGCTGCCAGCAAGACATCTGATGGGCTCTACACACTGCCAAAACCTGAAGAAAGAGACAATAGCAACAAGACATAGTAGGCAAGAGGACAAGACATTGGAGTCAGACCAGCCTGGATGCTGATCTTAGCTCCACTACTTATGCCACTGGGCAAGTTACTTTGCCTCTGAGCCTCAATATTTACATCTGGAAAACAGCAATGGCAACCATGCAGGGACCCTGATCCACAGGAAGTGTTCAAACCATGGCAGCTATTGTGAAGATGAGCGGGGAAGGCAGATAGGATGGAGTAAGAGCTTTCCAGAGATGTAAAAAGACTCTCTATGAATGCCCCATGTGATACATGTATGAAAGATAATTTCCCAAATCTTCATGTAGTAACATGGCCACGTACTGGGGATGTAAAGACAAAATAACCACGGCCTCTGACTGACATGATCTAGAGCAGTGATTCTCAAAACTGGCCTTGCATTCAAATTATCTGTAGACATTTGAGAAAATGTTGGTGTATAAATTCCACCCTGTGTCAGTTCAATGAGATCCCTGGGTGGGCTACAGCTTTGGAATTATTTCAAAAGCTTTGAAGGCAATTCTGAAGGAAAGGTAGGAATCACAATTGGATCCTTGCCCCTTAAAGGGTGAGAATCGGACCAGCAGCTTTGGCATCATTTGGAGGCCGTTCAGAAATGCTGAGGGGCAGACTCATCCCAAACCTACCGAATCTGGACCTACTTTTAAGCAAAGCCCCTGTGTGATTTCTGTGCACACTGAAGTTTAAGAAGCCCTGCTCCACATGGTGGTTTGCAGGACCTTAGCGAGCAGGTCTTCCTGGAAGGGATGAATGAAATTGGCAGTGGCATTCAGGGGCTGTGAGGCCTGGGCCTGGCCTCTTCTGAACCAGGCTAGGAAAGTGGCTTGGATCGGGGTAAGCCTCCAAGTGGGCACCTAGGGGATTGCACCTGGTATAGTCTAGGCAAAGAATGTTCTGCTCAATGGACATGGAGGCTCGATTGTTAGATGTATCACACTGGGAGTGCTGGGTACTAAGGCGAGTCTTTGTCACTCGTGTCCTCAAGGAGTCCATCCACTCTGCTAGTGCATTCTTTCTTCTGATTCTTAAGACCTGTCTAAAGACTCATCATTTTAGGGATCCTGAGCCCCCTAAAAACCCCTCATATTTGGTTCAATTTGGAGTTCACTCAAATAGATAAGTATGTATCTTTAGATAAGAAGTTTCTCTTACAGGAATTTACTTTTATGCACCATTGCCTATGAGTGTATTCATCACAGCCTTTTTAGCAATGGTAAAAAGCTGAAACAAACTCATATGGCCCAAACTGAGAACTGGGTAAATAAACTTTAGGGCTCGCCCATAGATTAGAATGCTAAGTGCAGTCCTTAAAGGTAATGTTCAGATGGACATGTAAGGACACTGGAGGTGTGTATTATGTGTTAAGTAGAAAGAAAAGGTCTTGGGGCTGGGGATTTAGCTCAGAGGCACAGTGCCTGCCTGGCAAGCATGAGGTCATGAGTTTGATTCCTGGTACCGGAAAAAAAACCAAAAAAAAAAAAAAAAAAGAAAGACAAGGTCTTAGAACTGTGAGCACAGGGTGATGCCAATTAAGGGAAAAATATGACAATAAGGTAGATTATGGGTAGAGATTAAAATATGTCACTTGAGTGACATATCCCAAAATATTAACTATGCAAGAGTCAAGGTGATTTGATATTCTTCTTTGTGGTTTTTAAGCTTCACAAATTTTCTACAGTGTACACGTGGACATTTACCAATGTAATAAGAAGCTCAATAAATTATATACATGGGGATGAGACCATTTCCATCCATTCCTTTTGCTCAGGGTCATTCTCAGTTCTTCAGAGCAATCAGTCCTCAGCCCTTTTGTCTTCTTATCCTAAAGTGACAGTCCTATCCTCAGTCCTAAAGCCCTTTTGTCTCCTTATCCCCTATTTCTGTCTGTCTGTTTGTCTGTCCACACAGAGCAAAGGAGCCTCAGACACTCCGGAGCTGCCCTGAGCTGCCGCTCACGCTCCCCAGTGGTCTCTGGAGCACAATTGCACCAGCTTTCAGCAGCATCAAGAACACAGTTTGCTCTAAAGCGACAGGAGAATTTTCAATTTCTTAAAACTCATTTCTTGTCAACACTGGCCGCTAAATATTTTATGCCCTCTGGTCTCGTGGCACCTTGGGGACCTGCTTGCAGAGACCTTTCTGCCTGTCATTATGATGAAAAGATGGGGCCCTGATGAGTGGGTGGATGGGAGGGGGAGGAAGCCAGCAGAGAAAGAGGGGAGAGGAAAGCAGAAGACACAAACAGCAAGTGCTTCTTGCCCTCTTGCCTTGTGCCAGTGTGCACAGAGGCACCTGGGAGAGGAGAAGGGCCCTGCTCTCAGAGCTGCGCCTTGCTCTGCCATGCAGCCCGCATGATGCTTCTGGAGCACAGCAAGGCCAAGCTTCTCTTGCTTCACCCCCTATTAGTGATGGTCCTGCTTGGCTTAGTTCCCTATCACCAAAATGGGGAGATGAGGCCTTATAACTCTGAGGTCCTGCAACGCCCAGATTCAAGGGTCCTATCAGGGGAGCTCCCCTCTCCCTGTCCTCCTCAGCATTCAGTGCCTTCATTAAGGTGCTCTGCGCTGATGGCCTTGCTACAGAACGAGGTGCCTGCAGAAACGTGCTGTCACATGAATGAATGAATGAATGAATGAATGCACCACTGGCACATGGCACAGAGGCTGTGTGGGATGGGGATTGGGAAACCTGGCTTCTTTGTTTCTTAAACACTGAACTTCTTTCATTATATGTAGAAGCGGGGTGATAAATACTACATAGGGTAGTTGTGAAGATCAAATAAAACAATGTATAAGGAAGCTCTCTGTAGACTTTAAAGGCAACTAATATCTACATCCTATGACTAGGTGCCAGTTACTATGCTAGGCACTTATGTACATTAATTAGCTCATTTCCACGTCCCTGATGGAACCTAACACATGTTACTGCTTTTATAAGTGCATTTTCTTTTACTAAGCCTCAGTTTATTATTTCTAATATCTACCCCATGGATGATCGCAACAGCTAAATAAGGTAACATAAGTCACACTCATCTCTGTATTCTTATTTTTAATGGAGTGCCTGGCACATGGGAAATTTTCATTTTGGCGGCTAAGTACAGAGTTAGGCTCTGCCTGTGGTGGCCAGAATTGCTGAGCTTTTTTAAAAAACAGGTTGCAACATCTTCTGCTCATTTTCTATGGATGCCCCCTCCGCCCCAATCTCATTTGGGGCCTGATCTCTGTCTCTGCCCAGAGGACTGGCCCAATTCTGTGGTTCTCCCCTTTTGCACTCTTGCCTCCCAGCTGTATTCTCTCTGTGGCGTTCCTCCCTGGTCCCCAGGGAACAGCAAAGTAGCTGGGCACTGGTAAAAGAGGAAGCTCTGGGAATGAAAGCCAGTACCCTCTGCCCCTATGTGAAATAATTAATATAATATAATAATATAAATGTAGCCCCTTTTTTTTTTTTTTGTCTTTTTGAGACAGGGTCTCGCTGTGCAGTTCAGGCTGGCCTTCCACTCACTTTATAACCCAAGCTGGCCTTGAACTCATGGTGATCCTCCTGCCTCAGCCTTCTGAGTGCTGTGATTGCAGGTGTGTGCCACCATACCCGCCTATGAAGTTAATTCTTCCACGATTCTGGTCACAAACTGAACTGGATGATAAAATTTCTGCGTAAGTTCAATATTGAACCTAACCACTGAACTGCCTGGTTTGGAGAGTTTGGTTTAAAAAAATTCTCATGCTTAGATTCAGAGGAAGGTAGTGAGGACCAAGGGTAGAGAGATTTTAGTGTGAAATTTTGGAATCTGAGAGTGGTTTTCAGTTTCCTCCTCTCCCATACACCAGCTGTCTTCTAAGCCTTTTATCTAACTGCTTAGATGTGGATGAAAGTTTTCAGCACCCTGTGCTGGCTGGTGGAAGGCCCATGTTGAGAGATGATGGCTGGGGAAACTTCATGGAGAGCAACGCCAGGTTGCTCACAGACTGGAGAGGGAGACTGGAGCCAGCAAGGGGAGGCCTGCCAAACTGCAAAGAGGAGTGGCAGCGAACAGACTCTACCCCGGAGCACAGCAACACAGGGGCTGGTGCACAGGCAGGGATGTGACGTGGGTGCTGTGACGTGGGTGCCAGAGCAGCCATGAGGCTCTGGGGAAGGAGCTCAGTGATATGTGTCAGCAACAGACGTGGGCGTGATGAGTGAGGGTGTGAACAATGTCACAGCTGGCCTCCTTATTTCCTAGTTTCCGGTCATGTGGGCAACACGATGCTCACTAATTCCCCACAGGCCAGGCCTTGCCAAGGACCCAGCAATAAAGGACACAGTCCTGGCTCACTCACTGCAGTGTGTACCGAGGTCACGCTGGATAGCCAGCCACTGGTGTCTCTTTTGGGTCTGTTCTTACCTAGCAGCCGCCATCCAAACTCTCTGGCGTGGGTGTCGCAAGGTCCTTCTCTAGCTGACCCCAAAGCGTGCCTCCTGCCTCAATTCCTGCCACCTCCTTCAAGCAGCCTATGCTTTGGCATTCGATTTGCCAATTGTCTGTGAATGTGCCACGCTTGTTAGCATCTCTGTGCTTTTGCGTGTGTCATGCCCTTTGTGTGAAATGTCTCTTTTTCTTTTCTGCCACCCACTGAAGTCCTACTGAACCTTCAAAACCTGGTGTAAACGTCACCTCCCTTGTAAAAATGGGCATGAGAACTGTTTGTTCATTTCTGAAGTGCTGAGTGGTGTGAGAAACTGTCCACGCATGATTGCATGTGTTTTCAAGGTAATCCTGTGAGGCTGATCTTCATACATCTACTTAAAGCTACTGAGCTAGTAAATGGCAAAGCTAGGATTCAATCACTTGATCAGTCAATCAATCAACCAGTCAATCAGTCTACAAATATAGGCCATAATCCTACTCTGCACCAGGCAACTCGATTATAGTCGAGGCTAAAAGATAGAATTCCTGTTCCCATGTAGCCCATGGTCTAGACAGAGAATAGACAATGTCCAAGTACCTATGTGTATTATCAGGAAGAAAGTCCAGTGGCTATGGGCTTAAATTCACAGGGTAAAGCTTTGTCCACCCTTCTCTGCTAACCTTGGGCAGATATTTTCACTGACCCCACCCAGCCTGCACTAGGGCCTCCACACTTGCTACCTCTGAGGGTGGACTCTCAGGGACAGTGGGAGGGGTGTCTTCCTTGTCTTTATGCCCTTGGTGTTCATCACAGTCCCTGCACCAGTGGGAACCCTTTAGAGGTGTGTGCAGCGTGAAGATAAAAGGCCAGCAGACTGGGTGGCAGATGGGAGGATGAGCGCACAGATGCAGGGCTCTGGCAGACAAGTCTTCTCACCTGAGAAATATCCATGACAGAATCGCAGCTGAGGGGCCGGGCTGATGTGAGATCATTAGAGCCCAGCAGGGTAGAGATGATCCCATTCTGATCAATGCGTCTGATCATGGTGCCATCCACGAAGTAAATCAGCCCAAACTTGTCCACTGTAATGCCTGGGGTGTAGAAGCCAACACAAGAATGCAGCATTAGAGATGACAAGGACCCACAAGACCTGGAGCCCTGTGACCTGACAAAGGCCACTTCCAGTATGATCTATCAGATCCTTCCACAACACCCCTGCCTTCTTGTGGTGCTGGGAGTTGAACCCCAGAACTTGCACATTAGGCAAGAGTTTTCCCATGGTGCTGCACTCCCAGCCCATCAGCCTCCTTTTAAAGACCGGGAGATGGAGGCTTGGTCTGAGGGCTTTGTTCAAAGCAGAGATGAGAATTCACGTTCTCAGATCCTCCTGAGCTCTGGTGCTCCCACTTTGCTGTGTCCAGAGATTTTTATCTGTTTCCTTGTCCACTCACAAAAACTGGATTCATAACTTATGGGGGTTTGTGCAGCAGCAGAGGTAGTGGTTATCACTGTTAACTTTTGGCCCTGCAAATCTAATAATCAAATCTCTTTTTTGGACAACAATTTTTCTTTTTTTTCTAAGACAATCATCATTCAAGTTTCTTTACCTTTATTATCTTAGTTTCACTGGTCATTATAAAAGCATAGGGTCTAAAAAGAATCTTATAGATGTATACAGAGAATAATGTTGAAACTAATGTCTAAGGAAGGTTTGGTGAAGAGGGAAGTCAGGTTATTACCCAGGAACATCTGTTCCACATGTTAGACTGTCTCACCCTGTTCAATTTATTCCTGACTCAGCTTGCATGGGCAAGGCACTGGACACCTCTGCATTTGCTTTCTCAGCTGTCAAATGAAGGGATTGTTCTAAGTCTGTTTTTCTCTCTCTTGGACATGTGTGGGAATTCCTCTGCAGAATGTGCTACAGTGCACCCCAGGTGGCTGCTTCAGAAGATCCCTATTGCAGCCCAAGTGTCTGTCTGCGTTTCTGACAAGCATTTTGGGTGATCACGATATGAACTAAAGCCTGAGAACTACTGCACTAAATCAGTGCTTCCTGGCCAAAGATGTGTATTGGAATCACATGGGCAGCCTTTTCAGCTCACACCTGCTTGGCCTCACTCCTGCAAATTCTTACTTAGTGGCTGGCTGGGACTAGGACTAAGGCATGTTTTCAAACTGGTGATCATGGGTGATGATCACTGTCACCCCAGGTCCAGAATTACAAGAGTCAGATATAACCTATCAAACTGCGACCTCTGAGGGGTGACAGTGAGACGTGCCCCCAAGGAGAGTGTGGTCTGGATGGCTAAGCACAGGACCGAGGGAGAACCATGTGGAATACTACAGGAAATGAAAAATCCCAGAGGGTAGTAGTGGGATAAAGGAGAATCAGGTCACTTTTGCTCCGCTTCATTTTCTCCTGAGCAGGGAATGGAAGAGGGGATCAAAGACTCACTGAGGCTCAGACCCCTTCACCAAGCAGCTCCCTAGTGGTGTTACCTTGGGCAAACTATTTCACTCCCTCTTCTCTTCTTCCTCCTTTTTTGGGGGGTGGTGGTGGTGGAATCCAGGGCTTTCACACTGAGCTACACCTCTAGACTTTATTTCTTTTTGAGACAGGGTCTCACTAAATTGTCCTGGCAGAACTGTATTTTGCAATCTTCCTCCCTCAGCCTCCCAGAGTGCTGGAATTGTGAGCATGTGCCAGGATGTGGAGCTAAGCCACTTTATTTCTCAGCCTCAGTTTCTTCATTGATAAAGCAGGAGGATAACATCTGATTGGAATAATTAGTCTTTGATCATTATTAATGACTATTAGGATTATGAGGACATGGCTGGCACTTTGTGGGTTTTGAAGTCCTTGTTCTTGGGGGCCCGTGCAGCTCTTTTGGGCAGCAGGGTATTAAGTGATGCCTCTCCCTGAAGCACAGTTCCTCTTCTTGCCCCTCTCTGGGCTAGGCAGCTGGGGAGGATTTCACACAGAGGACCTGGCAGCCTCAAGCTGGGAGCCTTTCTTGTGGTCCTGACTCAAATGTAAATTAATTTCATTCTTTAAGTACCAAGACATGAGTTTTCTTGTCTGCCTGGCTATGCCCTGTCTTTCTCTTCCATCTGCTCAGACTGATGAGTGCTCCATGAACAATTAGGTTTCTTGTTTACAAAGTTGGCTGCACAGGCTAATAGGAGTGATCTGTCCCCTGATTAATTACTTCATTTTTTTCTCCTTTTGTTGTGCTAAATAGATGGACATCTTTTCTCCTCCCTACTGCAAAGTGCCTTCATACTGTGGCACCCTTGTCATTTCTCCCTGGGTTAATTACAGGCTTGTGGGCACTGCACTGCCACTCCATCTGTGTGTGGGGAGGGCGAGGCGGGGAACACACGTGTGTGGAGAGCAACTGAGAAGTGTTTGGGGAGAACAAAAATTCCCTAGAAAAACCTGTCTTAATCCTAAAAGGTACAGTGTTGTAGCTGAAAGGGGCCTCAGGGATCAGTTAGCCTAATCTGCTCACTTACTAAAGGGGAAACTGAGGCCCAGAAAAGGAGGTGCCAGAGTCAGCCAGTAACAGACAAAAAGCATAATGCAGGGTCTCAGTACCAGCCTGGTACTCTCTCCACACTTCAGATTGCTCTCTCGGTACTATAAAGTCATCAGTAGGAGGGACACTAACCACCTACAACACAATGTTTACCCCACAGTTACCACCTGACCCATCCCGGAGGTCTGTGGAGCAGACAGTGTGCTATGATGACACGACATGTGCTATAATATATCATAACACAATACAACAAAACAGTAGGAGTCACCACTTACATGCTGCTTACTATGTGCCTAGTACTACTTTACTAAGCCTTTATATTCTTTGTAATATTTAAGCTGTACAATAACGGTGCAGTATATTCCTATTACATGGGTGAGGAAAATGATGCCCAGAGAGGTTAAGTAACTTGCCCAAAGTCGTACACCCGCTAGATGAGAATGTCTGGATTTGAATGTGTAATTAAACAAAAGTTAACTGCTTTGATTTGAAATCAGGCCTTAAAATCTGGCACTCTTTAACAATATAATTACCTATAATGTTTTAAGAGGCTATCACTTGAAATATATTAACTGTGGTCCTCAGAACCATCCTGGAAGGCATGCACAGACAGTATTACTACTCCTGTTCTTTTTAGGAGGACCCTGGTGCTTGGGCACTGCATGTCACTGGCTCTAGGGCTGGTACCACAGGTGGTGCCCCACTGAGGGCTGTTGGCAAGGACGGCTTCTCATCTAACAAGCTTCTTAATCTCCAAGGTGCAGGGGTCTCTCAGCTCTAAACCCTCATACACAGCTCTTCCTTCCGGCATCCAGAGGGATTCATGTCTAAACCTCACTTACTTTGCTACAATGAACTTATCTATGCAACCACAGAGCTCTGTGCATTCAGTCCATACTTGCTGAATAAATGAAAGAGAAATACCGAGTGAGGGCATTTAGAGACTCAACTTTCTAAAGGACTCAAAATTGAGTCCTAGAGTCAACCCACTGTACAGCACATGAACATTCCAAAATGACATATAATGATATCTTTTGTACAACAATAACATGAGAAATAGCATTCATGTCCAACAATCAGACACTGATAAGGGGGTGATAGGATAGCCAATGGAAGGAATATTGCCTAGCCACTAAAAATGAGAAGACTATTAAAACTAGAAGACTAATGACATGGAGAAGAAGTCATGATATATCACTGGGAGAAAAAAGCAGGTTTCTCAGTTTACTGTGATTTCTTTTAGTTTGCTTGATTTTAGTGAGTGTTGCGTACACACAAACATTTAGGAACAGACTAGGAGGAAGGGTTAACAGGGAATATTTCCGGTACGTAGCATTATCACAATTCTCGCTTTGCTCTGTATATTATTTGGTGCTTTTTTGGAAATGGAAAATGCTCGAATACTTGTTTTGATAGTGTTTAAAAGGCAAGGCCTTACCCCTGGGGTTGGTAAGTGTGGCTTCTGTGGCCTTCCCACCATCCCCGCAGCGAGTGTCATCAAAGGGGAGGCACTGGTCACCAGTCCCTGCCACCACCTCGGAGTTCTTGACAAGGTCCTTCACCACCGCGGTGGACTTGATCTTAAAAACCCGCCGGCTGTTGGTATCAGAAAGGAAGACGGCCCCGCTCATGGGGTCTGTGGTCAGGTAGTACTTATGTGCTGGACTGTGACTAGAAAACAAAGACATGGCCAGTGGTGAGTACTTTCTTCTCTCCTTTCAGGTAGCGAGAGATGGACAACTTGAATTCCTGGCCTTCAAATCCAAGCAAGAGTCTCCCAGGGATGATATTTCTACTTTGGGTAATGGCTTCCCAATTTTTTTGACCTTAGGGCTTGGACTAAGTATCCCTCCCACCTAACTGCTGATTCAAAAACCTCTCGCTGATGACTGCTCATATCATGTTTTCTTAAAAAGATTATCAGTGAGGTTTGCAACAGGCAGCCCGTCAATTCAAGGTAGAAGCACAGAAGCACTTGACTTTAAAAACAATCCAAAGGCTACAAGACATAAAAGCCCTTCTCCACAGGAGTTTTATAGCAACTCTCACCCCTGTCTTGGGACTGATAGATAAAACAATAGTAGATATGACTCCAAGTCACTTTTAATACTGTCTCCTGCCGATATTCATGCTGTCCTTACCAGGGGCCCAGAAGTCTCTCTCTTGCAGCCAGATATAAATGAATTGCAAGATTAGTTTGTAACTTGTAGCAAGGAAAAAGAACAGAGGAACAGTGACAATGAGGGTCTATTTCAGGAAAAGAGTCACAAAGACTGGGCTCAGGCAGAAATCTGAAGGAGACAAGGTACAGCCCCCAGCCACAGGGTGGGCAAACACACATAATTAGTCTAGTTCTAAAATTTGCTGCTTCTGAAACCTGGGCAGATTATCTGGCGCTTGAAGTCAAGTTTTCCTCATCTACAAAATGGGAATATTAACAGCTACACCATGGGTGTACTGGAAAAATCATAAGGAACCACAAATGTCAAATATTTAGTATAGTGCAAGGCATACAGGAGGTGCTCCACAATCATGATTGCTATATTAATTACTAGAGACTGGATCTGAATTTGCATTTGGAATGTCTTCAGGTAGGTATTGCTTGTTAAGCCTGAATTTCACTATCTCATGATACTGCTCTATAATCTCTTCCAAGTCTAGGGCACAATCGGGTTGGATTCATCATTCCCAGGGAGCTAATGTTCCGTTCCTGTGTGTGGCCTGATCTTCACTAGGCCCTTGCCAGCATCAGTGGCTCCTTCTGTGTGTCTGGAATGCTTTCTGATGCAAAGTGACCTCTCCCTATTCAGATTGGATGGCCCGGTGCTGGGTACACACTCTGCCAGGGGCCTCTGGGTACCGGCTGAGCAGGCCTGGAATGCCAGCAAGGCATATTCCTCCATGATGCAAGCAAGACCACCAGAAAGGTCCAGAAGGGGATGAGTCTATACTTCCCAGGCATAAGGGTTTGGGTCCTTTTGAAAAACAAAATTTTGTTTTGGAGTCTAGGGTTTTTTCAATTACATATGAAAGCTGTTGTACTATAATCTTTTGGGGGTCCAGGTCTTTGAGGTCCTTACTCTGGCCCTGCTTGTTCATCTAGCTTTTGGCTGCATTCTCGGGGCCTGGCCATTGCTAATGGAGCAATGGAAGAAAAGACCCAAGGCTTTTCTTCCTCTGCTTGTTCCCCTGCTTGTTCATCTAGCTTTTGGCTGCATTCTCGGGGCCTGGCCATTGCTAATGGAGCTAATGGAAGAAAAGACCCAAGGCTTTTCTTCCTCTATTTTCTCTCTCTGAATTCAGTAAACACAACATGATTTTTCCCTGGCCCCTCTTCTCTGCCTAGTACTCCTGACCTATCACCTCCTTCTGACATCACGGCCAGGTCCCTGTCTGTGGCCAGGTGGTCCTCAGGTCCTTCTTCCTGATCTAATCCAGACACCAACATGTCATTCCCATTCTTCTCTTCCAGGACTCCTGCCTTACAGAGGAAATGCAGGGTCCTCAGCACTCCAGGCTCTTCATGGCTGTTCCATCTTCCTGGCCCCTCTCTGCAGACACACTATTCTCCACTAACACCTACAACCTGTCCCTCAATGTATTTCAGGACCTTTTGCACCTGGTTCCTGCCCTGTCCCCTTCTCCTTCCTAGTTATTCTGCAGTCATCTGCCCAAAGAGAACCCTTTTTAGCAAGTCCTCTCCACCTTTCTTCTCTGTACACTGAGATCCATACTAGCTTGCATCTGGATTACAGGACATTTTTCTTTTTTTTGTAAAGGGAATTGAACTCAGGATCTTGCACTTGCCAGGCAGGCGCTTGTGCCACTGAGCTATATCCCTGGCCCCAGGACATTTTTTATAATGTCATGGCTATTTATTTCTATGTCTCTCTCCTAGATCCAACCACCAGTACTTGAAGGAGAGGGACCAGATTTTATTTATTGCTATATTTCCAATGTTCAGCTTGGTGCCCCGGCGCATCAGCATTGCTACTTGGTTTAAGTAGATGGTGTTGTGGTTTAAATATAAAGTGTTCCTCAAAGACTCATGAAGTGAAGACTTTATCCCAAAGCAGTGATGTTTAGATGTGGGGCCTATAAGGATGACCGGGTTGTGAGAGTGAGTTCACAGCTGAACGGTCTATTAGAAGGGAGGCCAGTGCTGGGGGAAGCAGGTCACTGGGGCTGTGCCTTTGAAGGGTACATCCTACCTCCAGCCTCTGCCCCCCGGCTCTTCCTTGCTTCCTCTGTTTCCTGGTTGCCATGTGCCTTGCCCTTCCACCGTGGTGCTTTTGGCTTCAAGCCAGCCTACCATGGACCCCTGAAAAACTGCGAGCCAAGACAAACCTTTCTTCTGTAAGTTGTGCATGTCAGGAATCTTGTCCCAGAAACAGAAAGTTGACTAACACAGATGGCATCTTTATTTTCAGTTTATTTAGGTGAGATCTGTATTCAAATTACTTCGTTTTTCTTTTACTTCTCATTTAGACATGGTGGTAACAGCACAGATGTCCTGTTTATCTTGAACTGTCCCTTGTGACTTATTCTATAATGTAACACAGATTTAATCTTCCCAGATGACACTGATTTTGGCTAAATTAAATCCAGTGACCTTAGATCCTGTTCTGCAATGTTGGAGCGGCCTGATCTTTCAGCTTTCCTGATGACAGCTGGGAGATGGGGTGACGATTTCATTTCTTTGCACTTCACTCATGATAAACTGGTGCTATCCACCTAGGCAGAAAATGGTCCCCAAGGGAGTATGGTGGGGGCCCTGTCCACTTAGATTAGCCCCTTATTCTTCCAGCTCATGTTTCCCTGCAATGCCCCAAAGAAGTGTCACTTGTGCAGTTTCTCAGACGGGTGAGTTCCAGGCAAGGATGGCACTGGCAGGCTTGTCCCAGAGCTGTAAGAGTCATGGCCATGTCTTTTGTGCTCAAGGACAAAATTGAGGTCTGGTGGGCAGTTAAGCATAAGGGAAAGAATTCTAACTTGGAATTTAGAAGGTATAGGTTCTAACTGGGGGAAGTTACCTAAATTATTCAAGTTGTAGTTCCCTCAGCTGTCAAATGATTAAGTCCCTGCTGTTTTGGTGTAAGGATCAAATGAAATTATCAAGAGCCTTTTCTAGTTTGTGGCACTTTTTGGACATTTTTCAGCTCATTTCTTCCTCATGCCACCCGGCACTGGGAGCCGCACCTGTGCCCCTGATGCCCTCTGGGTCCCTTCCAGCTACAGCCTCACCAACTTAAAGAACAGGGATGCAGAGACAGCTTTCATGGATATGTATATCTGGAGGTGTAGTGTGCCCCAGATGCTGTCTAGTGTGAGGTATGCACGGCCTCATTTTTCTCACTACTATATCCCAGGTAGGGACTTTTTCCTTAGAGTTCAGAAAACTGAGACTGAGAGAGGTGAAGTGACTTGCCTAGGATCACAAACTGCTAATCACAGTGGCAAGATAGAATGCTAACTCAGATCTGTTAGACACCAAAGTTTATGTTCTTTTTATTTCTCCCACACTGCTGATCAGGGCCCTTAGTCACCTGGGAGCACCTGTCCATCTCCTGAGATTCAGCCTAAGCATCACCTTATCTATAATCTCATTCCTGGGCCCTCACTCCTTCCGCGTCAGTGGAAGTGGCTACATCCTTCATAGAGCCTAGGCAGATACACTTTTAATATCTGTAGTATCTTAAGACGTTTTTCTGCTTAGTTGTTTGCCTTCTCAATGCAATCTTTCCGCAGCAGGGACTGACTTCAAGTCCCTGGTGCTTCCCGCTGGGCCAATGTAAAGTAAGTACTCCAGAAAGTTCTGTTGAATTTAAGAGTGAGTGACTAAATTGCTGTTTCCCTGTCTGAGGTGTACATAGGAAGCACCTACCACTAATGATCTGAGATTAATGGTTCTATACATGAGAATCACCAGGAAAGCCTAAAGAAACCCCACACATACACCTCTGAGAGCTCTCCAAATGCCTCTGTGGCAAAGCCAGGCTTGGGAACCTGGCCTTAGTGCTGTGCTTTTCAAACTTTAATGTGCATATGAACCACTTAGAGATTTTGTTAAAGCACTGATTTAAGTTTACTAGTTCTGGGGTGCAGAATTTCAAAGTGTGCATTTCTGACTATTTCCCAGAGCATGCCAGTGTTATTGCTTACACTCTGACTAGCAAGGCCCCAGAATACTATGCAAATCAGAAATATCTTTGGGGCATGTGATGGAAGATGATCTCTAGCTGAGACTCCATGCCTGGTTCTGTGAGACTCCATGCCTGAGACCATGTCTGATCCTATTTTGATTCTGAGTCTCACGAGCAGAGCTGAGCATAGGATATGATCATAGCTTTTTTTCTTGAGGGCTTGCATTCTTTTCTGGCTCTTCAAACATAACTTTGTTCCCTCTGGATGTGACATAAAATCTTAGAGGCCTTCAGGGTACCATCCTGAGGTTAATGAGTTGAAGTCAACCTTACCCTACCTACTATGTGGGAAGTCCCTAGTAGGAGGTAGGAACTGGGAGGGTTAGAGAAAAAAGTGATCTATGCTTTGCATCTGAGTGAGGTCTGCCTTGTTCAACGGGCATGCTTTAGCCACGTTAGGTAGCAGCCCTGGAAGAACCTGACCTCAGAACTAGTGGGAAGAGCTTGAGTGTTGGAGCTACACAGACAAACTCGTCTCCCTGTACACTTGATTGAGTGCAGACAAATTACTCAGCTATTCTGAGCCTCAGTATTTTTTTTTAATCTGAGAAATGGAGATGATCAGCCTCATTTCAAATGTTTATTTTGATAACAGAAACTGCATGAAGAGTGCGAATCTCTGTCATAGTGCATGTCCCATCAAAAAATGAAATGCTTGATAAATAGTACTTTTTAAGCAAAGCTACGTACTTTGACTATTTATGTCAGTGGATAATGAAAAAGCTAAGCAGGTGGGATAATAATATTGTCTTGTTCAACCTGTGCCCCATAGCTAAAGGCTCTGTTGAGTTACTATAATATGTAAAGCTAGGTTTAAGGGGTACTTGAGGTCAGGTGTGATCCTAGGGAAGAGATCTGGGAAGAGGGGAGGCGATTGCTTCTGGAAGGGTCCACAGAAGATGTCCAAAGGACCTCTGTACTGCACTGCTCAGCATGGTGGTCAGCATTGAGGCCAAGAAAGCTACAGGCAGAGAAGTTCCCCCCCAGGGGAACATGTGCACACAGGTTAAGGTCACCCCAATTTTATCACTGGGAACAGCAGGATCCGCCAGTGGCAGAGGACAAAATACTAGAATTTGTTTAATCTACCTTGGTAACGACTGAAGGTGGATACTGAGGCCCAGAGAGAGGAAGGGATTTGCTAATGTGAGGTGCCAGTTAAAATCACAGCTTGAACTCAGGGTTTCTGACTCCTGATCATCTTTACAAAACTGGAAGGCAGAAAGTGATTGCCCCTCTCCCTCTTGTTTCTGTTCACTTTAGAGACAGTTTTTAGCGCCTGGGAGAATAAATCGAGAGAGGGCAGCAATCTAGTTTTACAATCACATGGTGGATATAACAAAAGGCCACCGAAAAGCAGGGTCAGAAGAGACTCAAACCACAACCGCTTTCAATTTGTAGATGATGAGACTCGAAACCTCAAAAACCGAGTGACCAACCCAAGGCCACATGGCCCAAGACTCTTCCCAGCTGTGCTGGCCGATGTCACAGCTGTGTCCCGGGCAGCTACCACGATTGACCCAATGCTTCTGTGTTAAAAGACAGACTCTAACCCAAGATCTTTATGGAAAATGTATTTCTGTGTTTGCTGCCAAACTGAAGTTGAGGTTACGTATCAACACCTAGTTTAGAGTCATCCATGCAAATCACTGAAGTGCTCAGGTTTCACTGTGAGGAAAAATATTTCTCTTTTGAGAAGCAAGTATAATTTCCACTTCATCATCCATGCAAACCATGAAAGTAATTATGTTTTCCTATTTATTCCGTTTGGCTGCAGTGAATCCCAGAGTCTAATTTAAGGTATAATCACAGATACCTTTCCTTCCTTTTACTTTCTATCCCAATTTCTATTCACTTTAATACATGTGTCTTTCAGTATAACAGGATTCAATTATTTTCCTTTGGGAGAAATGGAGGCACATAATCATTATCATATAATAATTATGATAAATACTAATATTATGTGTATTATGTTGTTGTTATTAGTACTACAACCACTATTTCTGGAGCTATTCCTTATGCCTGAAAAATGCTGGACACTTTACAAATCCCCTTTGTGATTCTTATAAGAATCCTTTAATGGAGATTGTAATAACCTCAAGTTAGAAATGAAAACTCTGAGAGATGACATAATCCTTTCATAGCCAGAAAATCAGGGAGCTTCAGTGTTCACATCTGTAAACTGGATGTCATCATGGGTACCTACCTCACAGAATGGTTTGGGACCAAATGCTACAATAAATGTAAACTGCCTAACTCTCTGCTACATACTACATATTCTATATACGCTAATTATTATCTTCAAATAATAGATGTGATTATTATGTAAATGATATACTTGCTAATGTAGAAATTCAATAATTGCTGGCTTTAGGGTCTATCTGACTCTTTTATCTCTATCTATTACCACCCCATGTGCCACTACGCTCTGAGGCACATGTGGATAGCTCACAGTCATCTGTGTCCACACACATCACAGCTCTGACTTCCCACGGTTAATTTCAAAATCACCCCAGCATATGCAGGGTCAGAAGAATCTATTACCCAGGAGTCAGATGAATGCCACAATGACAGATATCACTTCTCTTGGTATATCTGACTAGGCCCTCTTTTTTTTTTTAAGACCCTCTCTTGATGGTTGCAGTGTCACTGTGAGGACATGTGTTCTCTGTGATGAAGTTGTATTTGGGGACTTCTCTCTACAGGAAGTCCCTGTGCCCTGCTCTGTCCTTGTTGGCAAACCTTAGGGTGGGGAAGTTCCCTGGCATCTCAAAGTTATGATGCTTGGAATGCCACAGACATGGAAATGTGAAACCTGTCTATTTCAGATTGTTCACCTGAGATAGTCTCAGGACTTCCCATCATGACTACCAACGTTGCACAACTGAATGATGTCTGGATGATGTTCTCATTTATTCCAAGGGTTCAGCAGACTGCAGCAATTAATTACTTCTTTATTACTTCAGTGTGTCACATCCACAAACCACAGGGTAACTGCCCAACTTTATTTCAGATTCAAGGAGTTCGGGCTTTCACCCCCACCCCACCATTATTAATAACATCCTGTCTTCACAACCCATTATCCCCATCCATTCCAGTCACACAGGGCTCCTTTGCCATTGAGCCACGTGGAATTGACATGTGCGGCTTACCATACAACATGCAACAAGGCAGGGGAGACAGGAAATTCTCCACTGGTTCGCTTACCTATGTCTGAAATCTTTATTTCTGACAGAAGACAGGAGAGCAGGGAATAGAAGAAAGAATGAGGTGTTAGCAGCAGGGTTAGAAGTATTATTAGCAGCCTGAAAACTTGACAGCAATGGTACTGTACAATACTGTAATAAATATAGACTTAGCAGCTATGACACTGATATATCTTATATTGGATATTACTTGTCAGTGAGTTCACTTACAAGCAGCTACGTATCACAGAAGAGCCATGGTTCCACCTGCACCAGCACTGCTGACTCAGGGGAAGAAGACTAGCGTGACACATTCTGCGGCTGTAACAAGGGCTGAGACAGGCATCAGAACAGCCACTTCCCTTCCCCATACAGACACACACCAGAGATACAGAGACCTCAGCTCTGCGTCTCTGCATGCATCCTGCCCTGCAAGACATTATCGCAACATGGGGAGCCTAAAAGAGCCTGCTCAGAATAGGAGACTGAATTAGAGACACACTGTAATTAGAAGGGAGGCAGAACATAGAGAGACAGGCATAGGGGAAAAGACTGAAGGAAAAGATATCAAAATGATAACATATTAATTAAATTTTCTCTCCAAATTTCATTTATTCCTCCCCTCCTTATTGACTGTATTACATGATCTCCCTGATACCTGTGGGGATACAGGGGCCTCTTATGTGAAAGATGTGGAAATGGAGGCCCAGAGAGGTTAACTGTTTTGTCCAGAGTTGTACAGCTTCTTTGCCAATATGAGCTGAGCCTCTGGTCCATGGCTCCTTCCACTGTAGCCCATGTTCACAGCAGAATGAAAAAAATACACTCAAGGGTTTCCTCTTTCTTGGCAGATGCCTATGCCAGTCAACCTCACAATAGAGAGAAGATAGACACAGAATATTCCACTGGTGGCCCATTTCTCACTGGGCATCCTACTTGATTTCCTATGAGCACACAGCATATCAGCTTCCCTCATTTGTCTGGGGTGTGTGTGTGTGTGTGTGTGTGTGTGTGTGTGTGTGTATGTGTGTGTAGGGGGAGAGGAGGCCAGAGGGGGTGCACTTATACTTTTAGGGCAATGTTGGCTGTGAGACAGCAAGCAAGCCTTACCCTTCTTTCATGTGTATGTTATAGAATCAGATTCTTTAACAGAGTGTAACTTTGCAAGGCATTAAGACAGGTGACAATTCTTTAATGAGACAGAGCTGTATAATGGTCTTTTGGATTTAGGTCCACCCTTCTAGGAGCTGGACCTTGGACAAAGTCTTTACATTCCCCAAGCCTCCTCTTTCTCATCTGTCAAAGTGGGACAATGATAAACACTTCACAGAACTGTTAAACTTAGCAAACAGAGGAGCCAACCTTTTCCCTGCCCACTTTGGAGGAAAGTGCTCCAGCTGAAGGGCCTGACCTGCTCACATGGACCCCAGCCCAGGAGACAGGTGGATCCCATTCCCTAAAACAGTCTGGAGGGAACTTGGCACACCTTTTTCTGAAAGAGAGTGGGGACTCCACAGTCTTTAGAGCACAGCTCCTCCATATTCTGGTAGAGCCCACCCACTCCATGACAGTTTTCTGATTCTAAAAAGATCTGGTTTAGGGAAGCAGATGAAAAATACTGAGCCCTTCTTTGAGCTATAAGAGTGGCTGTACTCCATCAGTCCTGGTCAGGAGGATGCAAAAGCTGAGCCAGCAGGTTCTGCAGCACCCAGGGAACAGAGGCAGTGCCTGAGTTAGTCTGTGGGGTTAGCTCACTATTGTCCAGCTGAAGGGAAATGCTGCTAACTCTGATGAGTTTTAATAACAGGCCCAAACCTGGTGACACTGACATAGGACCCTGGTCCATTATATCATCTCTTGTTCATATAAAAAGACTCACGTGATGAAGTCTAATCTGTTTCGTGCTACAAAGCAAAAAAGATTAAATGGCTCCAGCGAGTCTGTCAGTGGCCAGTTGCCTTCCACAGTACCTGGTGACAAGCACGTCTCCCTATCCCAAGAGTGGCTGGGAAGTGAAGTTTTCCAGAGTCTGGCAGGCCAAGCTCCACCCTGGCCCACTTCTCTGGGCCCTTTGGTGGCAAGGGATCATCTCCAGAAACAGGAGAGACACCTCGTTACGTACCTCAGCTCCAGGATGTTGGTGACGTTTCCAGAGGGGAAGATCCTGCGGATGTAGTTGAAGTCACCCACATAGAGGCTCCCATCGGAGCCACAAGTGAGGGCCACAGGGGCCAGGAGCTTGTTACCATCAGCAAGGCCATTGCAGCTGGGGCAAGAGATGCTTCTCCGGCGCCCGTTACCCATGATGCTGCCGATGACGGGCGGCTGCTGAGACACAAACTGGTTCTCCCCATTCCCTTTGTGCAGGATGCCTGAGATGAGGGGAGGAACAGAATCACCGAGGGACCAGGGAGAGGGTCCCTGTTCTTGTGGTCACCACAGTCACCTTGATTTTGCGTAGCACGCGAGGCCTCTGCCGACTGCTTCCGGACTCATCTGCCCAGACTGTGCCTCAATCCCCCAGGGACCTCAGCAGGCCACAGCGCTTTAACCATTTACTTCTCACCTAAATCCTGGAAGATGGCACTGTTCTTACCAGCCCTGTAACAGAAGGCACAGACCAGGCAGCTCGCTCAGGCTACACAGACAAGGAAAGGAGAGCCCTGGAGTCCGGCAAGGCCATTCAGCTGCCTGCCTCTTAGGCTGCACGTTTAGCAGGCAGCCTGTCCACATCTCTATGACAGTGTAGATTCTCTATTCCACTTTCTTGCTTTTCTCCTTTTTGATCAGTGCCACTTCAAGTATGGACATAATCTCTCTCCTTTCTGTATCCCCACTGCCTAGCATGGAACTCAACACAGAGTAGATACCAATAAATGTTTATGCAGACGAATGAACAAAACTCGCAGTCCCTTCTCTCCAAGGTGGAACCAGAGACTGGGGTTTTGCCAGGTATTGCTACTAAGGAGTTGACCTCAGATCTTGCAGAGAGCTCTCTTCTGATTTTACTGCCCTAGGGCCTCAGTTTCCCACCACCACAATTCGACAACTGACCTAAATGACTTGTGAGTTTTCTCCATGTGTATGCTGTTTCTTTTCATTCCGGATCATCTTTTCCTGCCTGATATTACTACAGCTGCCTACCTGGGCCCTGCTTCCTGCCTGCTACACTGAAGCTTGTGTGGGTTTTGGCTTTTTTAGATCACAAACATCTTCCTTCAAGCTATCACTTTTTAGCTTTGCAAAAGCTGTCCTTTATTCAATGAACTTCTTTAATTTTTTTTTTTTTCTGGTTTTTCTCTGGTACCGGGAACCGAACTCACGACCTTGCGCTTGCCAGGCAGGCGCTTTGCCGCTGAGCTAAATCCCCAGCCCCTATCTTTAGTTTTTTATGTCCAATCAATTCTACTTTAAACTTTGTAATTTTTTTAGGTCTTTGAAAATCCTTTCCTGAGATTTTAAAGGCTATTCTTCTATATTTTTGTCCATTAATTTTGAATTGCTCTCTTTTACATTTAGATGTTTATAAAATATTTAAATTTACTTTGTATGTGGTGTGAAGTGGGGATTCAGTGTAATTTTTTGCCTACATATTGAGCCAACCACTTCCTGTGTCGATTTTTAAAGCACCCACCCATTCTCCACTGAAATGTGATGCTACATCTACCATGTACCAAGTACCTATTTTTTATGTGGTATGCCACAGAAATTCCCAGTTACCCCCAGATACCTCTCCCATATACCCTTTCCTTCATCTGTAGCTATAGAACTCCTGACATCTAGCTGGAACAGCTAGCTGGAACAGCTACCTGGAACAGCCACCTGGAACAGCTTACAGTCTCACCCCTCCACCCCCATATCCCTGGGGGCAGCTCCATCCGTGACTACATCCTGGCCAATGCCATGTAAGTTGCAGTGGTGTGGGCAGCTGCTCAGGGAAGGGGGATCTGTAATGGGAAGGGCTTGCTTGTCCTTTTCTTCCTTGCTGGTTGGAAAGTGGATGTAAGGGCTAGAACTAAAGTGATCACCTTGGGCTATGCTGGGGTGAAGAACACCTGAGTGTACCAAGGAGCGAGGAGGAGACTGGCTTCCGACCTTGCAGCCCTGCTCTATCTGCCACCTGGCTTGTAGGTGAGCGAGTTAGCAACTCTAACCAGTTTGCAATTCTGTAATTTGGCTTTTCTGATACTTGGGGCCACACCTGGTTTTAAATACTGCTCACAGGTCAGTTCCTAAACTCCTTGCTCTGACCCATGGAATTTAGTTCTCTGTCTCTGTGCCAGCACCACATAATTTTAGATTTTGAGGTTTTCTAATTTAGTATAATATCTGGTGATTCCATTTTCTGGGTTCTTACTTTCAAGACTGCCTTACCTACTTAAAAATCTTTATTTTATCATAAATTTTATAATTAATTTGTCAACTTCCTCCCAAAACCTGCTGTGGCTTTAACAGACATGCACTGCCTTTTAGATTAGCCAGGAGACATGTGACATCATTATCATGTTTAGTTGCCCCATGCTGGAACACGGTCAGAAGTACAGATGTGACTGTGGTACTTGCATGCTTTCAAGCTCTCAGAGGCCTCTGGATGCAGTCCAAAGTCCTAATCTGCTTACCCTGGGCTCCCACTGCTCAAGTCCCAGCGTTGGCTTTGGCCACAATTCCCTTCATCTCATTCTCTACTAAAATTGGGATGGACCTTCTCTCCAGTTACTCTTCTTCCTTGCTACAGCACTTTGATGTATGCTGGGCTCTCTGCTAGAATGACCCCCTTCCTTGGTACACAAGGCTAATCCTGTAGTCCTCTAAGATCCCTCTGCCCCTAGGGACACCTTGATGAACTAAGATACTGGAGCAAGGTGCCTCTTAAGTCTCTGTTTATCCTGCACCTTTCTCATGGCTTATGGCATGTACTGAAATTGCCTGGAGAGAATTTATCTCTGCCCACATAAAGTCTTGAGGCCTCTCATTTCTGCATCACCAGTGCCTAGGATGGTGACAGGGTCAGGGCACATACCCAGGTAATATTTGTTGTCAGGCTTCTGACTGGCTGAGAACATAGGAGCTCATCTTATTTAAAGTGTGCATTTTTTGGTCTGGAGGATCAGCAGATAGAACACCACATTCCACCCCAACCTGGCTGAAGGAATTCCGTTATTCTACTCACCACTTTGGATGTTGAGGGCATGATGCTTGTCCAGGCTCCACCCTCCAAGCTTGGATGCATCGATTTCATAACCCTGCAGCACTGCTGTTCTTTTTTCCCACAGAATCAGATCTGGGCAGGACTCGTATTCATAACCCACGGAAACTGTCCAGAGTAAGAGGAACAAGATATACAGATGAACAAAGCCTCTTCCTTGGCCCTTTGCATGGGAGGCCCTCTGCTTGTCTTGGGCAGAACAGGAAAACAGGATCCTATATCTACCTGGGAACCAGAATACTGTGAAATACTAACACAGCTTTGCTAAGCCTTAAAATTTTTTGTTTTGAAGAACAAATGACCATTATTGTGAAAAGTTAAACAAATGTACTGAATACTTTAAAAAAATTCAGGTGAATCAATTCCAGGGAAGTAATCTTTAATATGTGAAATATTTTATGCACGAAAGTCGTCACTATAGCATTATTTGTAGTAGTGGGAAATTAGAATTAATCAAAGGCTCAAAAAGATGAGAAGCTAAGTAAACCTAACCATGTCCAATGCAGCCACTGGAAATTATGGTTGTGAAGGCCGTGTGGTGAGACAGGAAGTGCTTACGCACTAATATTCAGTTGAAAAGACTGGTTATTTTCAGTAACTTATCTGTGCTAAGTAAAACAAAACACACAAAAGCCCCCAAATTTCCAGATGAAAAATAGAAAGCAACTTAAAGTACTAGCAAAGAGTTGTGTTTGTTATAGGATCACATGACTTTTTTCCTTTTCTCAAATTTTTATGAATGAATGTAAGATTGCTTTTGTAAAGAAAAATAAAACACATTTCATTTGTAATGAATACATGGGGTACTTTTTTGGTACTGGGAACTGAATTCAGGACCTTGTGCTTGCCAGCCTGGCACTGTGCCACTGAGCTATATCCCCGGCCCTACATGGGGTGCTTTTAAAGCTGGATGTGCTTTGAGTTTTCAAAGCTTGAAAAGGGCCTGGTTTCTCTTGTTTCATAAAACCAGCTCCCCGGAAGATCCCTGGGAGGAAGGCTACACAGGGCAGGCTCTCACCTTGGGAGGGTGATTAGGAGAGACAGGCATGCCACCTTGCTTCTCGTATCTCGGGATGGAGGGATTATTTTGCATTGGGCAATATCCTATGACATGTTTGAGAGAGGAGTAAACAGCTGTACTAAATGCATTTAGTACGTTTAACTTTTCACAATAATATACAATTGGTCTTTAAAAATAAAAATGGTTCTAAGTTTCAGCAATGCTGTGTCGGTATTCAACTGGTTCTGGTTCCCAGGTAGAAATCTTAGTTTCTTGTAAAACATGTTTGAGCATCTACAGCAAGAGGGGAGTGGGCGGGAAGATGTGACCGTGCCCTCTTCCCCATGACCTGAGTCCTGCTAGCAGTCACTGTGCCTCCTCCTGGTCACTGGTGAGCTCAGCCCTGAGACTTCACTGTGTAGACCCTTCCCCTTTTAACTGGCTGGTGAGCACTAAATACATTCATTTCACCTGTAGAAGTCAAAACACTTTCGCTTACAGCTGTGACGCATTCTGCAGGACTGTGAACAGTGAGGGATAGCGTCTGTGTCTGAGGTGTGCCATCAGGAAAAGGAGGAGGATGCACCCTACTGTAAAGATGAGGTAGTTCTGAGCTGTGCAACCTTGGGACTTCTCTGGGCCTTAGCTTCCTCATGCAGAATTTAGGTATAATGATGCCATACGAGGTGGTTGTAAGGATTCACTGAGATACAAGTATATGAGGGAGCACCTTGCCCACAGGAGGCACTCAAGGGTCAGGCTCTTATTTCCTCCCCACACTTTGCCTTTTGCCTCTTTCCCTCCTTCCTTTCTTCCTAAAAACAGCTTTACTTCTCTGCTCCCTCATTCCGCCTTTGCCTGCAAAGGAAATGGCACTGGAGTAGGGTTTGAGATGAGAAGAGATTTGCTGGGCTGTTACTATTAAGTTGTTGGTGTATTCTCCCTGCAGGGGTCAAGACTGCTAATGCCCACTCTGCACCCTGCAGGGACATGCTCTGCTCCGGAAGTTGAAAGGAGTTCAGCCAGGTTCGGAAACCCAAGGTCTCAGTGGGGCAGGGGAAGCTATACCCAGCTTCCGCTTCATCTCTACCAAGGACAGCAATAACAACAGAGGTAACTTCTCTGCCTGGAAATAAGATCATGAGGCCTAAAATGCATTTTGGATGAAGGGAGTGTTTTAGCTCCTGTACCTTGCAAAAATGAAAGAAGCCTGGATTTTCAGCTCCTCTATTTTAACGTGTACGGTCAGGCAGGATGGCTGTGGCATGGCCAGGCAACATCCCTAGATTCTACCTTTATGGCATTTAAATCTCTTAGCCCATCACATACTACCATGGTATTTTCTGAGGGCCATTTGGTGGTGTAGCCATTTTTAATGGTAAAATTTCCCACATTCAGGTCTTTCCATCCATTCTTTTATGTTCCAGAAGGCCATTAAGAGGTCTTACAGGCCAGTTAAGCTTGAGGTGTTTTTGATCTGACATGAGAAAGGGGGTTATGATGTAGCCAGAGAGGTGGAAAGATCTCCCTCCCCCAGGTACTCGTTCTCTGAGGATAGCACTGTTTTCTGTGGGGAGGAGGCTTACCGAAGGCTTCAGAGAGCCCAAACACCTTCTGGTTGTAGACATCTGTCTTGTCCCAGATGAAATAATAGGATAGTTCTGGTGCCGCAGCAAACCACTTTCGGAAGAGGCGGCCCTCAACCGCCACCATGAGGTGGACCTTCATGAGGTTGAAGGGGATTGTAGGGTGGGTGAGGCTGATCCTCAGGACGGACTTGTAGCCTGGTGTGCGGCTGCTCAGGTAGCTCAGTCTTATCTTGCAGCCCGAGATGGCAATTTCCTCCTGCAGAGCCTGGAGCAGAGACAGACCCCAAGGAATGGTCACTGAGTCAACCAGGGGACGGGAGATGGCCACAGCCACAAGACTCTGTGTTTTCAGGAGGCAGAAGACAGCAGAGGGGAGGAGGTAAGGTGGAGAAGAGGAATAAAAACAGAGGGGGATGAAGAAGATGATGAGGAGGGAGGGGAACAAAGGATGAGAAAGGAGAAAAGGAACTTAGGGAAAAGGAAAACAAATCAGTAGACTTTGGTTTGGAGCCAACACTTATGTGGTGTAGCCCAGCACAGGCCACCTTGCCTCAGTGAGCCCTGGGTTCCCCTTCTGTGTAACAGGCATGATATACCCACTCTTCCATGCAACTGGCAGGAATGCACAGGATAATGCATATCGGATACTTAGCAGAATGCAGGCTCTGATTCACTAACTGTGTTGTTCTAAAAAAAAAAAAACAAAAAAACTCAGGGAACCTCTGTGTCCATTTCCTCACAGGATGAGCACAGCATGGAGGGAAGTTACGCTTGAGAAGTGCCTGACACGTTGATGCTACTAAGACAGCGGTGCTGCAGGTGCTGGCAGTGCTGGAAGCAGGGGCTGCTAGGAAGAGGTTCTTTTCTCTCCAACTAATGAGGACAGCTGCCTGAGAAGAAGGATGGCTTCGCTCTCGAACCTTTCCTAAAGGAAGATCTGTCTCCAGTAGCCATTCTTTCTAGGGAAGTAAACAGAGACTACGCAAAGTTGGCCAAACCAGTTATCAGGCAGAGCTGACATCACAGCCTGGCAAAGACCTGCTCTAATGGCCCTACTCAGCTCAGAGGCCAAATGGCAGCATGGAGTTTCTGTGCCGAGTCTCAGGTCCCCACTCAAGGGCCCTGTCAGATGAACAGAGTGGTGGGGAAGGCAGTGCTTTATCTGCGTGGTATGGTGGGCTCAGACCCAAGACAGAGAGAGCTGATGACAGCCAGATGATCAGGCAAGTGGCAACCACAGAAACTGTCATGAGCTTGGTGCTCTGGGTTCTCTTTCAAGAAGGGACCATTAAGTTAATTGAGTCTAACTCCCCATTCAAGGGACAACGATTATTTTACCCTTGTTTACAGAGGAAGTGGGCCTTTTTCCTTCTGTCCATTCCATAGAAGGGCGTGAACCACCACCTAATCCTGCTCTCCTGAAATAGGAAGTTCTGGTGATTGGGCTAAAACCAAGGCTGTGTTCCACAATCAGATTACAAATTCTAGGAGATGCAGGCTGTACCCTGTGGTGAACCACAGGCAGGGCTCAGGTGCTATCCTGATGCTCATATGAATATTTTCCTTCATGATTCTGATTTCCCATCACTTGGAAAGGCTAGACAATGATAGACCTGGGAAAACCCAAGTATTTGTTTTTGTGTGTTTTTGGAGTCTAACAATAAGGAAAGTTTGTACCCCAGCTAGACCTATAGGCACCCAGCCAGCTCTGGGAGCATTGTAAAGAGGGTGTGACCTTGAACCTCATTTGTTCCAAAGTCCCTGCTCTTGGGGGAAAATGTCTAGCTGGAGCTAAGGCAGGGTTGAGTAACAAATTAGTTCTCTCCAGCAAGTTCTGTCTCCACTGACAACCATTTCATAAGAAAGGTCAGCCTGGTCATTCAGACAGGAGCTAGGAGCTGAATCTCTGAAAAGGAGTGTGCTTTCAACCTGTGAGTGTAATAAGAATTTTGAAATGGTTGTATTTCCTTCTTGTGGGCTAGTGTTGGAAGCCATGCAACAGGGCACACGCAGAGAGATGTGTTTGCTCAGCCAAGCGTGAAATACACACACATAAATGTATAAACTCTGCTCTGCCAGCACCCGGGCAATCCATTACCATGCACATCGCCCAAGTTCTCATTAGGCAGGGGAGATGACAGGAGCTCCTGCTCTGCCACCTCACCCCTTCCCCAGCCCTTCCTTTCTGCCCTTAGAAATCAGGTTGGGGACGCCAGAGAACATGCAACTTGGTAGGGCTTTGTTAAGCAAAGACTTTATCTTGATTTCCATCAGATTACAAAGCATCTTTCCTAATTATTTCCCTTTAATGATAATTAAGTAAAACACTTGAGTATATAGATTTGAGTCAAAGTAATTCTTAATTGGCATGAAGGCAGCGTGTGTTAAATAATTTTAATAATAATAACAATAACAATAGTTAAAATATATTGAGCACTTACTAGGTGTCTGACATAGTGCTAAGTACCTCATATGCATTTTTCTCATTTAATCTTTATTATAATGTTCACTATTTGGGATCCTGCGGCTTATTCCTCTTGGTAGAACCTATTATTATTAATACTTTAAACAGAAATACCGGGAGACGGAACACCCTGGAAGCTGCAGAAAAAGAGAGCAGAAGTGAGCTAAATGGCAGCGTAGAGGGAGGGGGAACTAACTATAAGCCTGAGTGCACCAGGTAGGTCAACCAGCCTCATGTGTTTTCAGCACATAGGACAGGGGCCCTCATGTCCGGACACCATGCCTGCTGTAGGACTTGGTAGCAGGATTCTGCGAGGTGGGCCATAACAGGGAGCTTTCCTTTTTCTATTCTTTCTGAGATCCTACACCACCCCCTCAAATGAAATAAAAGCATGGCAAAATGCAGTTAGGTACCTGAATTTCTGGCACGATAGGACCTTTCTCTGTACAGGAGCTGGCGAAGGATGTCAGTGGGGATGGAGACACGACCGGGTTAGGGCGAGCGAAGTTGCTAAGGTCACAGCTAGGAATCTCATTCTCCTCATGCCTCATGACAATGGTTTCCATGACAAAGAAACGATTCCAGGGTAGCCAGAGGGTGTGCTCCTGGGTGATGAAAGGTGCCCGCTCGAACCTCAGGATGATGGAGATGCCACCATTTGTGACCAAGTCAAAGCTGTGGGAGCGGGGAGTTGCAGAGAAAGCAGGACGATGATGAGGAAGAGACAGAAAGGAGAGAAAATTACACAAAACCTTTGAGCCCGTGGTGAGAGAGACTCCAACACCTAGAGCAGGGGTGGTGAACCTGTGGCACGTGTGTTACTGTGTTTTCCTTTTAAGATTAAAGATGTCAATGTAGAATTATTTTTTCTAAACTAAAACTTCAGTATTCAAGTTTAATTGCAGTGTTGGCACTTTGTGACAAGTAGGTGGGTTTTGGGTTGTAGACTGGCACTCAGTCTCTAAAATGTTCGCCATCACTGACCTAGAGACGCAACTGTGCCCGCAGACAGGGACAGTGATTCCAGAAAGCATCTGTTGCTGTCAAGTGATTCACCATAGAGAATTTACTGAAGCCAAATTAATCACTGCAACAGTCATTTTCCAGGGCACAGGAGAGCTGAGGACCTGGCTGCTCTCCTCCTGGTACAACTGGCGTCTAAACTGTGTCAGAGCTAAAGCCTGGTAAAGTCGCCGTAAAAAAAGCAGAGAATGCTCTGACCTGGGGGTTAGGAATCTTAAGCCCAATCTTGATTCTGTCATTAACTACAGTGTGGTCTTAAGTAAATCACTTAGCATTTCTGATCCTCAATTTTCTTGTCTGTCAAATGCAAAGGTTCGAGTGGATTGTTTTTAATTGACTCAGATTCTGTAACTACTGCAATTCTGGCTCTTATTAAGATGATTACTCAACAAAGACCTTTGCAATTACAAAATAGCTGAGTTGTTTAGAGACAGCACAATTAGATCCTGTATGGCACAGTACAGTACAGTATCTTATGAGGGAAGGGGAGCCAGATGACAGAGCATCAAGCACCCAGGTGAGATGAGATCACTGTGACAGGCTGAGGGCCTGCAGCCTGGCCTCTGCTCACAGAGCTCTGGGGGCGGAGGGCATCCGAGGCCTGGTTCTGTCTCTGCTACCACACCTAACAGGCCTGTGTCCCCAGGCCCTTCCCCAGCCTAGATGATTCCCCCCACCCGGGGCCTCTTTTATTCTAGACTTGCAGGGGACATTACAGGCAGAATCTTCCTTGTTTCACTCCTGCAACTATCTCTTTTTTTGCTTAATAAAATATTTTTTGTTAGTACATGTTTGCAGTACATAATGATTACATTCACTGTGGGGAACTGGTACAAATAGGTAACACGTTTCAATTATTTTTTTTCTCCCCTTCCTCTCCACCCCTGTTTTTTTCTTCTTAACATTTTTTCTTTTTTGCTAGCATCACATTTATTTCTTTTGTAAGTCTTTATCAAGTTAATGATCATAAACACAGATTAACAGCCAGACCAACAAGCCAAAAAACATATAAGACACATAAGACAATTGTACTAAATCAAGGTACACTTTTTTAGATGCATGGTCCATACCACCCCGAAAATATCCTGCACCCAAATAAGACCCAGCCAGAAAAATGCCGGCGGCTCATTAACTCCCATCACCTGCAGACAAACCTAGCAAGGCACTTGCTCTCCCAGACCTTGGCACGGATACTTTATTGTTGAAAATCCAAGGAAAATGAGTCACATTTATATACCTCAATGTTTCTGATGGTGCCCAGCTCCCAAGGGAGCCTGATCCATGGTTCCATAGCCACAGGCTCAGAGGCTAGTGAGCTCAGGTCATGGACAAACGGAAAGGAAGCCCAGGCATAAACCAAGGACACCCACTAATCCTGTAAGCCAGGTCTGCTTAGCCAAGTAGACTGGATGGCTGTGTCTAAGGACCCATGTTTAGCATGCAGCAAGATCTCAGACTAGAATTTTCTGTCCTTTCTCCCATTAAGACATAAAACGTTGCATAAAATCCAGTAACTGCTGAACCATTGGAGGGGAACCCATCAGTCATTTGACAGAGCCCCGCTCCCAATATGAGGCTCTAGTCCTTTCAACAGAATCCCCATCTAGAGACTGTTTAGCTCCAACTCGCTCACTTCTGGTACAAGGATCTTGCTGTATCCATGGGAACACTGGCCCATCTTTGGCTAGGTATAGCTCCAGATCTTTTTACAAAAAATTGAAAAAAAAATTTTGAGAATTGTACCTGGGTCCCCCTTCTTCTAGGTCCTTATTCATTGAGCCTGGCTGTACCTGCTGAAATGACCTCAGACTGGTCTCTTTCTTCTGCCCTGCATCACTGCTTTAAGACCTAGAGACGGTGGTCCTGTGCATCTGCCACCCTTGGCTGTCATGGCTCTTTGGACAAAGTCCTTTTAAGATACATGTCTAACGTCTGTTCTTATCTTGTTTTTTTTGAACCATTCAAACGTCATCTCCTCCACACAGCCTTACCCAGCCAGGATTCTGGTCCCCACCCCAACTTCCACACAGCATGTCCAGTCCTGTTTTTGAAGCCCATGTTACATTATCCTGAAACTGCTCATTAGCTCTTGGGCCAGGGACATTGATTCTCCTGGCAATCGAGGGCCAAGCCGAGTGCTTGATGGTTAAAAATTAATAGAATGAATGCATGAGTGACACTGCCAACTACTTCTGAACTTACTGTCTGCTGAATATTCAAAATCCTTTCTTAGTTGTGTTGGTGCTGTAAGCCCGTGCAGTGTTTGCCTGTGCAACTGATTTGAGAGACCCTAGAGCAGGATCTCACCTTCACCCTGATGAATCCACTCTGGGGGACTAAGCCCACTGCTCCAGCTTGTTCTTCCTCTCTTTAGAGGCTACAAGGATTTTATATCCAACTGTCCTATCCTGGTGCCAAATCCGGCTCTTGTTAGATGGTACTCCCCAGATTTAGGTGCACCAGCTCTAAAGACAACTCTTCTGTCCTCTTTAGGAACTTCTTACCCACTGGGCCTGCTCCTCATTCGGCCCTTCCTTTGCCACTTGGGAAGAAGAAGCCAGGTGCCACCATCCTTTAATGAAGGGAAACACCAGGGCAGGTATTTATTTTGGATCAAGAGTTAACAATATCTACAGTTCTGGGAAAACACTCAGAGAACCACTTTTCTGTCACAGAACTAATAGCATCTGTGCTTTGACAGAACATTTTAAACTATCAAACAGAATTCTGGCCAGACTCACAAGCTCCCTGTATTGGAGGCCGAGTGTGGGGAGGGAGAGAAGGCAAACATGAAAAGACATACTCTCAAGGCCGGGAGCAGGCTGGGGCAGCTGGTCTTGCCAAGAGCTGAGCGTATGGGCCAGGGCCAGGCCTGCTCATCTGGCAGGCAAACCTTGTTGTGGATTTGAATGTGAATCTGACCCCAAAAGGAAGGCTGAGTTTTCAAAGGAAGCCCAAACAGTTTAGAGCTTGTTGGAACATAGCTACTTACTCCATAGGTGACTTCCAGTGCCTTTCAAACCTCAATTTCCTCATCTGTAAAATGAAGCTGACAATCATAATCACTTGGCAAGGTTAGTAACTGGATGGGTGATGGATGGGAAAAGCACAGGGCCCCACACATTCCCTGGGGGTCATGCTCTATCTAATCCCATTTTTCAATTCAGTGAACCTGAACTGTTTCTCTTGTCTGCTATTCTTTCAGTTTTTCTTCCTGACTTCTGTTTTCTGACTTTTAATGAGCTCTTTGGCTAACTTCTCTGTTACTGTTTTTTGTTTATGAGCTCCTATTAAGACTTCAAGCCTGTTATTTCAGTGTTGTGTGCACGTGTGTGCATGTGTCTGTGTGTGTAGGAGCTGGGGTGATGTCACGGTGTCTATTTGGAAAGCAAGGGTTACACAGACCAGTCAGACACAGGCCCTGGGCTCACAATGCATATATTTCTATCTCAGACTATATCTCTAGCCTTATGTTTTCTCCTAGCATAGAGAGAAGGGTCAAGGAAGGGTAGAGGGAGAGAGTCAACATGGTCCCTGTTCACAGGTAACAAATGGAGTTTCAGACATATGGGAACAAGTGACAACTTTCCCTTGTGTACAGTGTCTACTTTGAGAAGAAAATGTGAACCGCACAATGCATATGGTAAGAAATGAGCTGAAACACAAGCTCTATATGACAGTCCTTCTGGCTATTCTGCCATAACTTTGGAGGCAGATGGAGGAAACATCTCTCCCAGTGACCTCCATGCTCTCATGGCAGCAGAGACTGTAGTAGTGGCAGAAACAAGAGTCAAGGCCTAGAAGTGTAAGAGAGTGAGCTTCTCCTAAGGGAAGCCACACTTACACCAGGCTCTGATGTGTCTCATAGACCTATTCTAACCAAGCTCAGTGGGGTGTAAGGATGGACAATTTGCCATCATTCATGAATGACAGGCAAGTTTCACGACAAGAGCAGTCCTAGAAGTCTCTTTCTGAGGACTGTTTCCCAGCAGGTAATAATGTAGTTGGAACACCTGCTGCCTAGGATGTTTATGCCTCCATTTGCATAAACCAGGCAGCCCCAAGTGGGGAGGACAGCTTAACAGAGGAGATTCTTTTGTGCTCTAGTGGGCATCTGCACTGAGGCACCTCCTGGGCCAGAATGTGTGCCCATGAGGTCTGGCCAGGTTTGCCTTGGGGTACAGCTACCAGTCTCTTTCAGCTGGGTCCTCCCATTCACACAGAGCCTGGGGCTCCCCATGCGGAGCTTGCCAACCCCGTCTAGAAGGCACACATGTCTACAAACAGACGAGCCTCTACTTCATTATCACCTCGGCCGGGACATGTTCACATCTGATATTGGATTAAAGAGGTGCTAAAATCAATCAGGCTGGAGTGTAATTTCTAACACAGACTGAAAAAAAAAATCAACCTTATGTACCCACACTTAGCCAGATGGACTGCCACTACCTGATTTTATTAAAAATAGAGGACTTGTCAGTGCCAACAGCCTAAATATTCCACTTCCTTTCTATTCCTTCCTTTCTCTCCAAATACTCTCACTGCCTGCACTTGAATTTGACTCGGTGTCCATCCAATTCAGTTTGCAGCCAGAATCCTGGAAAGAATTAAGTTTGTGAACCAAGGTACCACTGTACCCTATCGCCATCTCCTTATTATTTGATAATTTGTACTTTTAATAAACTGATATTCATTACTTACTGTGTGCCAGACCTTGAAATACAGCAATGAATCCAAGTGGGACAGGGAACTAAGATTTATTGAACACCTATTATGGGCTGGGGATATAGCTCAGTGGTAGGGTACAGTGGTACCTTGGTTCATAAACTTAATTCTTTCCAGGATTCTGGCTGCAAACTGAATTGGATGGACACCGAGTCAAATTCAATGTTGACCTTATGGGGAAATTTGATTCAGTTCTTGTCCAGTTTGGTTTACTACTAGAATCTTGGAGAGAATGAAGTTCGTGAGCCAAATCACCACTGTACTTCACTCTACTGATGATTCTCAGAAGAATTAAAGGTTCAGGATTCAGTTACTACCCAAACTGCTTCAGTGACCTATGAATGGCTGAGATTTCTAAAGCCATCCAGCCTGCAGAAAATAGTCTGCGTGACAGTGTTTCCTATAAGTCATGGGGCAGGGTAACTTGGGAAAGGTACCCTATGCTTTCTCTGAGATCCAAATGAGAAGAGATTGCATATCTATAGCTAAATGGATGTAGTCCAGACTTAGACAAGGTCATACAACTTGTGAACCACAGAGCTGGCATTTGAATTCAGGCCTTCTGGTTTCAAGTGCCATCTTCTTTCCATGTCGTCAATCTAGCAGCAGCTATGGCAAGATCCAAGATCCCAAGAACCTTCATTCTTTCTGGCCCATACCTGCCATCTTGCCTGCTGACTGTGTATCCAAAGAGAGGGTTATTGACGAAACTGATGTTCACACCGACCAGAGGGGTCCCATCTGATGTCATCACTTGACCACGAATGACACACGCATGCCTGTGGAAAGAGAGAACAACATAATGTGCTATTCATGGTCAGAGCCGTGGTTAGGAGGGAAGTCCTAGAGGAGAAGACAGATGCCTGGTCACTTAGACACATATTATACCCAGGGGCTCATGTTACTCACTTCAGATCAACAATAGCTTTTTAAAGATATCACCCCAAGCTGTGGGTGGTGGTGTGTTCCTGCAATCCCAGGACTCTGGGAGGCTGAGGGAGGAGGATCGCAAGTTCAAGCTTAGCCTGTGCAACATACAGAGACCTTGTCTCAAAATCTAAAAAAAATAAGTAAGTAAAGCAATAAATAGGGCTGAGGATGTACTCAGTGTGAAGGCTGGGTTCAATCTCTAGTACCATAACAAACAAAAAGTATCACCTCAGTTTAAGGCATCAAAGTATTCTTTAAAGACATGTCCTTGGGAAGTGTTTTCGAGTGTCTGAGTTGGAGGTTGTTTTTCTGCGGACACCATATGAAGCTGTGAGGAAAAAAGGATCCTAGATGGCAGCGCGCTGTAGTGATGATGTAGATTGGGAATCACGTGCTCCGTGCTCAAGTCCAGCTCTGTTGTTTCCTAGCTCTCTGAGCTTGTGCAGATACATGATGGTTTTTGGAACCTCTTGTTTTATCACCCTGGTACAAAGGAGGCTCCATAGGTGGCAACAGCTATTACAGTCACTAACTGAATCATTAGGAGTGAATATATAAGACAGGGAGATGGACAGAGGGTACTCCCTCTCATCTGGCATTAGAGACAGAAGGGCAGATGCCAGCATCCCCAATACCCTCCACCCCCACTCTTCCCAGCTTGCCAGGGGAATGATGCTTAGTGCCCTTGTGCCTGCAGTGTTTCCACCTGCCTCAAATGTCATTCCCACCCCTCCCAACATCTTCACCCTGAAAGACCCACTTCAAAGGACACCCCTTCACTGAAGTCTCTCAGTGATTCAGTCTGTGCCCTTAATCAGACGAGTCCTTTTCCCCTACAAAGTCTGACACAAACACCTGGATCTCTCACAAAACTGTAACCTCTTCTCTCCACTAGACCAGCCCTCTGAGGGCAGGGCCAAGACTTCATTCTCACCACATTGCCTAGACTATGTCTGACCATTTCTGTAACCTGGGTCACAGTTAAAAAAGTTGGGGGGGGATTTATCAAATAAATGTGACAACTATACATCACCTAGAATAATGGCTTTCCACATACTTCAGAAATGGAATCCTTTTAGAGATTACCTTTTATAAGGACCCCAGAGTGGAAAACAAACCAAAAGAAACCAAAAGAAGATCCACCCTAGATGTAGCAGAGGTAAAGACTTTTTCTGTCCTGGGGTTCTCTGAAGGTTGCCCTGTGGAGCCTTCGTCTCTCTAGAGGAAAAAAAAAAAAGTCACTGAACTAATGGAACCCTCTCATTTTTAGTGGAGAGAACTGGGAGGTTACATTATTGGCCCAAAGCATGTAGGAAAGTGGTGGCTGAACCAAGCTTGACTCTGAATCTACAATTCTGGGACCAATGCTAGACCAGTTGGTTTACTATGAGCAATAGGTGGGAATGACAGTGCTGGCTGGTGTCAACAGGATGGTGGGGATACAGTCCTTTATGACAAGAAAAATCTGAGACAAAAAATGCAGGTGCTATTGCCCGTATAACTCTCTCCACTCACATGGTTTCAGACTTTTTTTTCTGGTCTAGGGAAAAGCTCCTGATGAGGCCCAGGGGCATTCATAAAAAAAGATCACAAACTCAGTCCTTGCTTTATTAGGTACCCACATCTCTAACTTCCTAGAGTGATAAACTTTTCTCTGTTTGATGAGAAAAGCAATTAACACCAGGCTTGTAGGCAGCTGGTCTCACTAATGTCAGCTTATCCTTTGTGAAGGTAAGAACAACTACCCACAATGCAGCAGGCCTGCCACCCCACCCTACCCCGCTCCACCTCACTCCACACAATCTGGTTAATGTTAATTCAGTCAGCGGTTTCCTTCCGAGGCCCTTGGTCTAAATGCAATTACATGGCAAACAAGTGAAGCAGGCGAGGCTCAGCAAAGACTTTCAGTCCTGCTCTGAAGGTCTCCCAATATATTTATGTGAAATTATCTCTCCGCTAATGGGAAAGATTTATTCCATCAATTATATTCAACTGGTACTGAGAGATGCTTTCTTTAATGGAGGACAATTGAATTTCTTATTGTTGGGACTTTGTCCAGAGAATTACTAACAGATCTCATCTCTTGATGCTGGTTACTATCCAGCCTTCTCCTGACATGTATACCTTTGGACTCTGCCTGGACGATAACCAGCCCTCTGGGATGGTTTCCTTCTGGGGGTTGCCTTGGCTGCTGCCCCTCATGCACATGTGGGCCAGCCTTCTCTGATTTATCTCTCTTTGGGGATTGCCTGATAATTGGTGAACCTTAAATCAGCACCATTTAGCTATCATGTAGCCTCTGATTTGGCAAACCAGCAGATCTAATTTTAATGCAGGCTCTTGTGGACTGCTCTTGGATTCTGGAGAAGATTAAGCTGACTCCATGTACTCCTCTAGGCCATAGAGTTCTCATGCCAAAGCAGGCATTTGGCTCAGAGATCAAGTCCTGGAGAAAAACACGTCTATCTACCTTCCATTTGACCATGATTTTCAGTTGTCAAGAAAATCCAGTTTAACATAAAGCCTTTCCTGGAGAAAAGCAGATGAGGAAGTTGGCTCTGTGGAGGCCTCTGAAATGTCTCATGTTACACTTTTCTGTTTAGGGCGATTTGCAAAGGTGTGAGTGTTAGGATTCTCAATGCTGGCTTTCTTCCTCTGCATTTGCAATGGACTCCAGCAGTGGTGTACTAGTATTTAACAACAGACTTTTAAAATCCCAGCTAAAATTTGTAGCACTTGCTCATTGCTGTGGCATGAATACTTCTATCGTGGCTGACGTCAGGCTACCAACAAGATGCACCTGAATTGGGAAGAGGTGCACAGCAGGATAAGAGGACCATCTGACTACTCCCATCATAGTCAACGACACTGTCACTTCAAAAGCAAATTGTAAAATATGTAGGAAGCTGTAAGTTTTGAGTATTTATACATTTTTAAAGTAATTTATTTAATTTTCTATATTTTAATTTTTAATAGTGGCTACATTTCGTAGCCAACTTCCACAATTTCCAAACACTTAATCTGTTTGTGTGGGCCGGTATGACCTTGCTTCCTCAAACCACTGGAACTCTGTCCCCACCCTAAGGGTCAGGTAGCTGCTTGGTGTTGGGGTTGTGGCTAAGCTACAGCTGCTGCTTTGAGTGTGAAATTCCCCAATGGAAGACAATACTGGTGAGAAGCCATTGACATGAGTTTCAAATCACTGTCATCAACTTGGCTTTCCAGCTAGCTCAGGTGGTCCTCTTCTCACCAGTCCTATATGTGATGTGTTTTATTTTCCTGGATCACTGTTTTGGTATAATGGGGTCTTGAGGTATTGTTTTCTCTGCATCTTTGAGTCCCTTCTACACTGTCATCACCTCAGTAAAGCTGTCACCAAGTCTTCCTGACTCAATTAATCACCTTCTCCTCTGGGCTCCTCTATATTTTACCAGTGTCTCTTTATTACTGTGACTGTCCTATGATGATATCATCCACATTCACAGAGTGCTTACATGTGAGCTAGAGGAGGACTGGGACCTCATCTTCAGGGGAAAGGGTAAGCATAGGATATTGCTTCATGATTGGTAAGTGAATAATGATCAAAAAACTAAAATCAGAGAGAAAAGACTTGCTCATTGTCACCCAGAAAGAAACTCAGTTGGCTGAGCTGATACTCAAAACTAGGACTTCTCACTTTCAAGTCCTTACTGTTTCCACTGTGTCATGTGTCTGAACCCACTAAAATGCACTTTAATATAAAAGCCAGGGCAGCTACTATGAGCCAGGCACTAACTTTAGGTGCTAAAGTTATGAAAAAGCATCATTCACAGTCTCCAATTACTTTTGCTAGAGCTCACAAAAGCCAGTTTGAAATGCCCTGGTGTAGTTGTCTCCAAATCAGGGAGTCAACACATGGGTTTGGCATATGTCAGGCAGCTGGGATACAAAACAAGCAATTAGGCTGGGTGAACTCTGCCAGGAGGGAACGCTCGCCAGGCCAGGGAGGTGACAAACATACTGGCATTAATCCAACTATACACTCAGCAAGGTGCCGTTGCTGATGGCACAGAGAGAAAGAAGATCTGTCTGAGGACAGTGGCCAGGTTTGGGATCGAGAGGGGAACATGTTGGAGAGACAAAACCACCACCAAGCGGAATGAAGCAAAGAAAAACCCAACCTTCTCTGTCATTCTGGGAGAAGGGGTAGAAATATCTCTGGGCAGGGGGTGTGGTTCTTAATTGTCTCTGGTAACTAACAGGGTGACTTTGGAGAGTCATCTGACCTGCGAACCTCCCTCCATCCTCTCATCTGTCAAGTGTGCTAAAGTTCTTCCCAACTGGGCATAAAACAGAATCCAACATCTGTTTAAGAATTTGTAATTGTTTTAATCTGGTGCTACACAAGCCAGCTCAAGTAGCCCCACTACAAGTGGCTTCAGAATCTTAATGGAGCTCGTACAAAGCTTACATGTGTCTCTGAAATGTTCTGCTATCTGGATCCCTTCGCCTATCTTGTTCACCTGAAAACTGCATCTTGCCTCTCCAGTGCATTCACCTGGCACTGTCCACTGCTTTTGCCCCATCTGACCTACTGCCGCATAAACTCTGAGTGCTGTCACACAACTAGACAATCTTTTTCCCCAGCACAGCAGGATCTCCTGGAAGACAAGACCAATGGCATCTTCCTCAGTGTTCTATTCCAAGCAATGGGTATGGCTGATGCTCATTTCTGAGTGGGCAAAGGAAAACCTCCTCTGAAACAGTTGCTTGCCTTGGCATTTGAAGGCAGGGCAGAGTGTAAACTCTTAATAGACTATTTACTAAATAAAGAAAGTGATGATGTGCTTCTGTTACTTAAGGTGAGAGT